TTTTAATTACTCCTAAAGAAAGGAATGTTCTTCCTTCCCCTCTCATCATTGAACTTTCTCAGTGCACCTTTACTATTAAAAATTATTTGTGCTAGGAATTTTACTTTGATTTGACACACAGTTTGATCCATTGTATATAGAAGGCTTGGACCAGGACTTTTTGAAAGTGAGGGTTGACTTATAACTTAGTAAATTGTTCAGACTACCCTGCTGCCGTGACAATGAAGAAGCCAGGCTGAAAAGATGTAGCCCACACACCACAGTAGAGGCAAGATCTTCTCTCGGTCATTGGTTCACTTCCCCTGTGATTCAGCTGTGAAAATGTGGCCTCAGATATTATCTGTTGGCATAGGCTTTTCATTATAATTATGCACAGTCCATGCTTCGAGGTCGCTTAGAAACACACCTGTGCTTTGCTTTTAAAAATAAGATGAATCCTTAGATTAATAAAACCGTAGTAGCCATTTATAATTGGAAGTACTGCATAAAAAATACATTTTAAAAAAGATATTCTGGTTCTCTGTTTTGATTCTTTGTTATAATTTTTCCATATTACCAGTGACTTCATAAAGATTTATATCTGTTTAGCAGATATATGAAATACTTCAATTTTCATAGAAAAAATTAAATAAAAATTCAAAACACTGGCATAGTTTGGCATGATAGGAAATCAGCTTTTGTTTTTAATGGAATTTTACAATATGTTCTCATTATGATTCATACTATTCTTCAAAAGTCACCCAAAAGGATATTTGCCTTCATGCAATTATTAATAACTAGAATAATTTCTAAAATACACTGACAATTACTGACAATCGCTAAGAAACTGTTGTGAAAGTCATAAGCCTGTATTCTTGCAGAGCATATATATAACAGGTGTTCCCACTCCCTGTGTCCTTTGTATACACATTCATTCTGTATTCAAATCAGAGAAGCAAGAGGCAGGATAGGGTCTGTTACCTCACTGCTAATTTCCCTAGCAAATAAACCAGCAGCTGCTGGTCCACAAACCAAGTTGCCACCAAGAACAGGGCACTGTATGCATGGGAGAGGATGCTTTCATGGAACCCTTCAGCAGCATGGTTGGGGTCTTTCACTGCAAAATATACCTCCTTCTCTTCGGTAAGGCACTGCATGAATTGTTTTGTACCTGTTTTTAATTGCGGGCCTAAGGTAAATATTGGCTTTAGGCTGTAGATTCACTAAGGTAATTGAAGAGCAGCTCAGAACCTTTTAAACAATAACACACTTTGTTCCAGAGAAGAAGCAGAAACATTTAGGAGAATGAAATTTAATAAATAGATGGTTATTGTTTTCTCAGAACACTTATTGTCAATAACACTCATTTAGAAAGTTAAGACATTCCAAAAATAGAATGAATTTCTTCTTTTTACAGTGTTTACAAATAGGTTCAGCAGTCTTTAATGCATTTTATTGTGGAAAATATTCTTTTATAGGTCATGAAATTATGACCACTTACAGTGAAACGCAAAACAATTTATGAAAATGGTTTTTTATTGTTTAATTAAAGATATTATTGCAAACTATTAGTTCTGCTTCATTTTAAATTACCTATCTTATGAATATGGAAAAAGGTGATGTTCCAAACTGACAAAAAAAAATTTTTTTTATATACAATAGGGAAATGTGTTAGAAAGTATTATTTCTGCAAAATGCCTTTAGTCTTTCTCTTTTCCCAATGGCTAGTCCGATTAAACTTCTTTCCTCCATCTTGATATTTCTCTCCCACTCCTCTTTTATCCTTAGAGTTTAAAGAAGTTTCTCTCTGATATTCCTACTGTTTTTTTCTGTTGAGGTTATTTTTTACCAGATGTTCTCTTCTTTTCCATTCATTCTATTTATCAGTTTTTTTTTGTTGTTTTTTTTAAGTTAGTTTCTTGTTTTGTTTCTTTTCAACAGGTAGAAATTCAAAAAAGACTTTAGGCCTTAAGTGTTAACAACTTAATGTAAATAAGCAATTTAAGTTTTAGCCTTCTTCAGTCATTTAAAACCCATCTTTCACTGTTATATTGTTACTGTTTTCATCGAAATGTGATTGTTATTCAAATTTGTACCTAATATAGTACATATCCCACATTTATGAAATATAGATTTTTGCAATTTTTTTAAAAGCATTTGAGTTTTCCATAGTTGTGATAGTTCTAGTCATTATGGTGGTTATGTTATCAAATTCAAGCCTATCATGGATTTTGATTTATTGAAAAATTAAACAATTATCATAATTGGCTCTTTATCTTTGTGAACTTTTCCTGACTTTGAAAGTATCTGTGTGTCAGTGCCTCACTTGTTTTCAATTTTATAGTGAGACATCAGCTGTCATTTCATAAGTAGTGTTGTTGTAACTGGCTTTACTAATTTAGAGGCAATTCATTTGAGGAATTAGGTTACAATAAAGTTAAAATTTGTTTTAAAGAAATAAGTATCATGCTGATAAATAGTTAAAGCCGTTTTGTCCCTTAAGACTTCTTTCGTACTCAAATTTACTTTTTTCAATAGGTAGTATATTGTAAAGACCACAGCTAATGTGAAACTTTTCTTGCTTTTAGGAATATTAAATTTTTGTTCGCTTTTTCTTTTAAAAAAAAAAAGCCACAAAAATGAATCCCAGAATGAAGTTCATACAGTCTACTCAAAATACTAGTTCATAATTTCTATTTTCTTTAAAGATGCTTGAGTTTGTTTTCAGTCAACAACAGTTGTGTTATGTTTGCTAATACCGTGTACGACAATGGGGAAGTAAATGCCAGCTATTTTAAGCTTCAGCTAGAGGTCACTTTGGTGAAGTCTGATGTTTATATTCAATACATTGAAACTGGTCTAGGGGGTCTTTTGTTGTGGGAATATAGACAAACTTTGCAGTAGGGCTTTCGGTGTTCCTTAATGCTGGATACTCCTTTGTAATGCTATTGCTGTAAGTTTAACAGAATCTCTAAAGAGGAAATTATTGCTGTAATTTTATATATCATTTTATATGAAAAAAGGATTCTTCCCCTTTTACCAAAAAAAAAAAAAAAGTAAACAAGGACATCTGCAGTGACGGCCCCAAGTGACAAGCACAGGCTGACCAGAATGGTATTATCAGTTTTTCCTGCCCTAATGCCTTAGATGAAAAAAACCTGAGTTTTCATTTTTTATACTCAGAAAGTATCATTGTTGTTGTTAGGTGTCATCAAGTCGATTTCCACTCATAGCAACCCCATGTGACAGAATAGAACTACCCCATAGGGTTTTCTTGGCTATAATCTTTATGAAAGAAGATTGCCAGGTCTTTCTTTTGCCAGGTGAGTTCAAACTGCCAACCATTTGGTTAGCAGATGAGCACTTAACTGTTGTGTTCTTAGGGCTTCTTCACCAGGGCCACTCCTGAAGTCCACCCTTCAGCCAAAAATTAGACAGGCCTATGAAACAAATAATACACATGAGGATTGTGCTTCTTAGTTCAATCAAGTATACAAGACCACATGGGCAACACCTGCCCAAAAGCAAAGATGAGAAAGCAGGAAGGGGACAGGAGAACTGGATGAATGGACATGGGGAACCTGGGGTAGAGAGCGCAAGAGGGAGAGTGCTGATACGTTGCAGGGATTGCAACAGATATCACAGAACAACTTCTGTATAAGTTTTTGAATGAGAAACTAATTTGTGTTGTAAACTTTCACCTACAACACAATAATTTTTTTAAAAGTATTAGTCAATTTAATAATATTTAATTTAATACAGTAAAATCTGTGAAAGCCGGAACCCATGTAAGGTGGAAAACTGTCAGAAAAGGAAAACTCAAATATTTCTCACTAAATAGTGATAGAAAAGTCATAACTGCACCCTGTCAAAGGCAGAAAACTTGCAAGACCCAGAAAAACAAGGCAGTCCCATCGAGTTCCAATTCTCACAGGTTTTGCTGTAATAAAATTGAAAATAATAACAAAATAACAGTAATAAAATTAATTTCCATTTAAGTTCAGTATGTGGAATATCAAAAAGAAATTAAAAATTCATCAATTTTATACCATTTCTCTTATTGGGGTTCATTTGTTCATAGAGAGGTTGAATTTTTAAAATCGATGGTGTTAGTCCTTTATATTTTCTCATACAAATAAAAAAGAGCTCTTGAAAAATTCTCAAAATGAAGCTAATTTTTTTAAATTAGTAAACTACTGTTTTGACAACATAAATTCATCATATCTGTACTGGGAAATATATCAGTGATAGACAGTATGTTTCTTAAATGTAGAAGAAGTATCCAATTATCTGTTTATTCCCCAAAGTTTACTACAAGTAAGGGTTGCATCATATCACTAGGCTCATGTCTTTCCTGCAAAAGGAAAAGTTTTTAGGAGGCTTAGATTAGATACTGTATAAAGAAAATTTCATTCCTTGCTAACATTCCTATAACTTGTTATCTATAATTTATGTGATAAAAAAAGTATAGGCAGTTTCTAAGCAAAAGGGTACTGTAACAGCTGTGCTATCTTTTGCTGTCATATGCACATTTGAAAAAGCATACATATTTGAAAACAAATTTAACTTGATATGGAAACATTGTATTCAGAGATAATGATGGCAATATTTTATTTAAAGGTATTACTACATGATGCAGTTTCTAAAATAACCCAAGGAACTAGTTTTTCCCCCTTTAAAAATTATTGAAAACACCATACAAAAGGTTATTTTCTAATAAAGTATTTTCATTTTTCCTTCGGCTGCAATATTAGCTTTTACATTAAATAAAACTTGCTTTCCATTACTTTAGTCATAGACTCTCCAGTCTTTTCTTACTTAAGATTCAACATTCCGGTTCAAGATCCAAAAGTCACCTATGTTTCTATTCTAATGATACTAGCACCCATAGTAATACATTGCCTCCCTAGCCTTTTCTAGAATATTACAAACTCAATCTTTTTCAACTACAACTACAAGGAAAGTTGAAAAAAAGAGTCCTTCCAAATAAGATAAAACAAAAAACAAAGTAAGTACTTATGCAATGACTGCCCCAAATGACAAACACCGTTTGGCCAGAATTGCATTCAGATCATCTACATCTCAGTCTAGCAGTAGTTTCTAGGTTGAGTTGTGAAATGTCTTAAATGGACCAATAAAGTCAACGACCAAACTGCTCACTGCCAGAAGCAATTACTACATATTACGGCAGCAGCAATGCAGCTTTTCCCAGTGCATTCCCAAGGTAATGATTTGGATTTCCACCACCCCTTTTGATTTCTTTGGTGGCAAACACAGAATTGCCACTTTTTTGAAGGATATCCTGCAGGGATTGACAACATAATAAGTGGACTGGAACATGGAGACTGAATCCTTAAATACTTTTTGGACATCTTTCAATTAAACATAGGTCATCTATCTTCAGTGTAGATAGCTGCTACCCTGATAAAAGCATCTCAGGATGTCAAGAACATAAACCTAGAGAGTGGAGAGAGGCATTAGGCTTCATCTAATCTAACCCCTTTTTCTTTACACATGAGAAAACTGAGGTCCAGAGAAGTAGAATGACTAATCTATTTCTTCACTACAGTCTTCCGTCTCCTTGATAGAATTCCTAGCACCCGGTTCCTTCTTTTTCTAATCATTCAAATTAGGAACAACTCCAAGTTTAACATTCTTACATTTGCCAGAAAGTAATACAGAAGCAAACTGACATGCCTTTGTAATTCCTTTGTTATTATCCAGATCACTAATATGAATGTGCAAGTACAGTCCATTATCATAAAAAAAAAAATTGTAAGTCAATCACAAATACACATAGAGCCCAAGGAGGCTGTGAGACTTTTTTTTTTTTCCCCATATACTCACTTACTTTTCAGTCCATATAGTTAGCTTCAGTTGAGTGGGGTCTGTTTCCCCTCTAACCTCCTCTTATCTCCCTGTTTGTATTTCCCTCCTGAATTCTTTGCTCTAACATCCCTGCCTGCCCCAGAGTCTCCCTCACTCCTAACAGATAGCCAGAACCAAAATCATGGAATCCTTTGTTCCCAACTTTACCTTGGGAAGTCAAAGAGAGAAATTTACTGTAGGTGGAAACTGATTCCTCATATGAGCAAATCTACATCTTTCAGTTTCTTCAAAGAAATCATCTGCAAAAGACAAACAGACTTTCCCACACTTCCTTTTCTAAGATTGATTGCCTTTCATAACGTGACTCATGTGGAGAGAATTATTCTCAAAGAATCTACACTTTCTGGAGCCATCAAGGTTGAAATAACCCATCCAAAACTATTGCCCTAAGGTAATCTTTGAACCCTAAACCTTGAGCTGAAACTGGTCTCCTGAAAGCCCTCTTTAAGTCAAACAATAATTTAGCTTAATTAGTAAATAACATTTGCTTTGGGCATTGTGCTCTTTTAAAGAACTGTCTATGTGAAGTCAGTTTTGACAACAGTAATTCCAAAGGTAAGAAGAGAAGCTATGTTTTAAGATGAATCAGTAATTACTTGACTCGTTCTTCACGACAATGCTGTATGGAATCCTGCATGTCCACAAGTTCTTTTGTAAACTCTTTTCTGGCCCTGTTTCCATGGCAATTATAATTGCTAGAAATAAGATGGGATGTAAAAGTCTGTAAAAGGTCTTTCTTCTCTGGAACATTTTTGACTCCCTAGTCAGAAATGTTGCCCCGATTTGCAAACTGAATATTAAATAAACTTCAATCAATTTCTATTACTGGCTTAATATTATTTTTATTTTAACATTTAGATGCTCAAGCTTAAAGACCCCTTCCTAGTAGCTATGAAAACAGGAAGCAATCAAGGAGGATAAACATTCTGCATATGGGGAAATTGAAATTGTAAAATAATTGCTGTATTTTTTAAATTCTAAAATGCAGCAAACATGAAGACTAAATATTTTATATATGAAAAAGTTATAAGTGTGGATAATTACTATACTTTTTAATTCTAAAATGCAGCTTGTGGGTCTGCATTGGTAAACTGATCTTGACTAATAATGGTTTAATACCATCCTTCTCAGGATATTTGCATTTAAGGCGTTGGCTCATGGGAAAAAACTTCCAATAGTGAAATATCAAGCCATTCAGAAAGTTTGGGAGGAGATTCTTGGGAAGAAGTAACTCTCCAATGTTGCACAGATCACATGGTTTGATTAAGATGTGATATAACTCACACATTAGTAGAATCAGTGTTAGTAGAGACAAGTGTTTTTAAATGTTTTCACTGGACTTTAGAACTAATAATCTTTCCCAGTTCTCCTTTCTCAGTATTCTTTAACAGTCATAGATAATAACTTCTGCTTTTCCTTTTCATCTTCCCTTAGAAAAGCCAATGCAATCAGCTGTACTTTTTGGGTGGAGTTTTTGAAATGCAGAAGGTTTCAGAGACAAATATTTACCTTTACATGTAACTGGTACTAGAATGGTCAGTAACTGGAAGGCTCTCTTCCTTGAAAAGAATTCTCCCCTATCAGGTTCTGTCTGCAGTTGTCCCTTTAGATTGTGTAGTGTGGCTCAGGGTCTTCACAGCTTTCCTTTCCTTTGCAGCAGGCACTTGCTTGGGGCTGACAGTGACGGTGCCATCGCACACCGTCCATGGCATCAGGGGTCAGGCCCTCTACCTCCCCGTGAACTATGGCTTCCATACTCTGGCTTCAGACATCCAGATCATATGGCTGTTTGAGAGACCCCACACGATGCCCAAATACTTACTGGGTTCTGTCAATAAGTCTGTGGTTCCTGACCTGGAATACCAACATAAGTTCACCATGATGCCACCCAATGCATCTCTGCTCATCAACCCACTGCAGTTTACTGACGAAGGCAGTTACATCGTGAAGGTCAACATTCAGGGAAATGGAACCCTCTCAGCTAGTCAGAAGATACAAGTCACCGTTGATGGTGAGTCCACTATCAGTATGCCTGGGCAGCAGGGTAGTATGATGTTCAGTAAAGGGTCAGGCAACTAGATGACCAGGGCTTTAGATCCTGGCTCTGCAACTTTGGGCAAATTAATTAACCCTCAAAGCTCAGTGTCTCATGGCACTAATAACGTTATCTACCCCAAGTGGCTTTCTGAGGATTAAATACAACACTGAATGAAAGGATTCTGCACAGTGCTCAGCAAAAGGTAATGAAGCAATAAGAACAACTTATTATTTGTTTGCCTGGAAACTGTCAAGTATAAAGTTGCTGATATAATGAGATGGAGAAAATCTTATTTCCTCAGTAGCACCCTGGGAAGAGGCCTATTTTTGTCACATGAAGATTTTTATTTTAATAAACTGTTTGGGGCAGATAAGACTCACCCAAGGACCATACCTAAGGAACAACAGAAGTTGCTGGAAATCTCCCCTGAGGGGTACTGGGGTCAACTAACTTTCAGACACTTATTTCTTTACAGAGGTATGTAAGCAGAATACCTTAAATACATTATATCTAATACTCACCTTTGGATTTTTCTCTCTGAACCTATAATATTCCCCCAATTTAGTAAATATAAACTCCATTCTATTGATTGCTTAGGCCAAAAGCCTTGGAGTCCTCATTGACCCCCTCTTTCTCTCACATCCCACATCCAGTTCACAAGAAAACTCCGCCAGCTTTACTTTAAAAAATAGACAAAGTCCAACCACTTCTCACAACCCCCACTACTGCACTGCTTAGCTACTCTGTCAGCTCTCGCCTGGATTATGCCATTAGCCTTCCAAGTAGTCTCCCTGCTTATATTCCTGCCCCCTGCAGTAGCTTTCTGTCTCACACAGAAAAGTCAAAGTGCTAACAATGGCATATAAGGTCCAACATGATCTCCCCCCACATACCCGGAACCTGTATGACTTCTCCTACCTCTCTTTCCCTCACACATCTTGTTCTTCCTAGAAGAGGCAAAACACACACTTCGGAATTTTGCACTTCTTGTTCAGTCTACCTAGATTGCTTCTATTCCAGATATTAGCATGGGTCCCTCCTTTATTTCTTTTAGGTCTCAGTGCAAATGTCCTTTTTTCTGTGAAGCCTTTCCTGATCACCCTATATAAGTGTATAACCTACTCCTCCAAACACACACACACACACACGTATCTCAAATTCTGCATTGGACTGGACATATTATATATTTTTATTTGCTTATTGTTTCTCTTTCCCACCTAGAATACAAGGCCTGTGTGAACAGGGACTTTTTATTGTTTGCTCTTTTCTCCCCAGTGCCTGAAACTTTTGCCACCTGCCCTTAACAAGTGTTCAGTAAATAGCTATAGGCAGTAGAGGAGCCTGGAGAGGCTGGAGGGGAAGATATGGAATGTGGCAGCAGATGCCTAGGGAGTGACTTTGAGAAAAAAAAGAGATATCTATCTAGAGGGAATGTTGATGAAGTTTTCCCATGTGGTAGCTTGTCTCCCTACAAAGTTTTTAATAGAACACCAATTTCTTATTAATGTGTAGTAAAGTTGAATCTGTTTAGGGTCTTGATAGGCGTTTAGGGCCAGAAAGAAATATCTTCTTGGGAAACATCCACATCTTTATTACACTGTTTTAGGAAGTGTGTGATCATAATACCAGTGACTATTCTAATGATTGGTTCTCCTTATACAAGGCTGTTGACATGCTACCTATTTGACTTATTCCATCCCACATATATTTCCACACAAAACACATTTGGAAAAAAAGATAAAAATACAAGCTTTTTCTACATAATAAACATATACACACTCATTTTTTGTTTTAAATTGTAATAACTTATACAAACACTATTCCAAGTCCCTTGTTCTTGCCAAGGAAAAAAAACAGGATTAAATTAAATGGAAGCCAGTTGATTACACCCACCTTGAGAAAGGCTGGTGGTTTCAGAACTACTCAGCTCCCCTACTAGTTTAGCTACCTTTTAACTAGTTCCTTTCTCCTTAACTTTCATTTTCTCCTGTCTTCTCTGGGCTAGAAGATGGTCTTGTCCATGCTATAATGTGGGAAAAAGCGAGCATGAATCAAGACAAGTTTGCCTGAGGGAGATGGGAGATGCACCATCCCCAATTAGAGACTTGATAAGAAATCAAAGCTTAAATATTGGTTCCAATCATCTGTCCCTTATGTATCACCTCATTCTCCCTGTGTCCTGTAATCATGCATAGGAGATTATTAAATATATCTCTCTCCAAAATGCAAGAGAGAAATATTGCCAGATCAAAAGCCCTCTTCATTTTGCCACTTATTGCTGTGTAACTCTGGGTAAGTCACTGTTTTTTATCAAATAGAGTCAAGACCCTCAAAGATTAATGAAGGTTGCTGAAAATGGTTCTGGATGTTTATATAATTCCTACACTTATCCATCAGTTTTAGAGTCAAAATTCAGGGGATGCATATTTAGTCACTCTTGGTAATTTATCTATTTAGCAAGTAATACTAACTACCTACTTCGTGTCAGGCTATGAAAGGACACTATTTTCCTATGACTTTGAAGTTACAACAGGAATTTTTATTGGATTTTTCTTTTATTTCTCTTTTTTCATACAAACCCTAAAACACATTTTATCCTATTTTCAGATTGAATCAGTATTAGAAATGTAGACTTTGGTTTGTTAAAGTGACTAACATAATTGTTGCAACACAAATATAAAGCAATTAAAAGCATATAATTAATTTGATTACTTGGAATGAAAAGTAAATGGTGCATATGTGATTCTCTAAAACAGTCCCTCAGTTCCCCATATAGCATAACATATATGAACTGTACATTTGCAAATGGTGCAAAGAAATTTAGGTTCCCCACCCCACCCCAACCAGCTGCTGCTGGGACATTGGGAAAAGTCAAGAGAAGGGAATACCAAATAAGTTTTGTGTGTTATTTGGGTAAAGCACAATGAACAGGCGGTCAGGAAGCCGGAGTTCTCTACCACTAATTATATTCTCTATAAAGATAAAGCAAAGGATTTAATTAGAAAATTCTTGAAGAGTAAGTTCTGGAATTTGGCTATCTCTGACTATACGTATCTAAATTTTTTGTTTATATTTTATCATTTTGCATTATTTGTGCCTCTTTTTTCTCATGTTTAATTATTGCCTAAACTGCCTACATTTACAAAATGTAAAACTTTGGAATAATTTCTCCAAGATTTCAGTATATGAAAGAGTTTTATTATAATTTTATGAGTGGCCAAAAGTATTTCTATTTTTTAATATTGCAGATCCTGTCACAAAACCCATGGTACAGACTCAGCCTTCCTCTGGGGCAGTGGAGTATGTGGGGAACATGACCTTGACATGCCTGGTGGAAGGTGGCACCCGGCTGGTTTACCAGTGGCTAAAAAATCGGAGACCTGTCCACACCAGCTCCACCTACTCCTTTTCTCCCCAAAACAACACCCTTCGTATTACTCCAGTGACTAAAGGAGACATTGGAAATTATAGTTGCCTGGTGAAGAACGCTGTCAGTGAAATGGAAAGTGACATCATTATTCCCACCATATATTGTAAGTTTTTTTTTCACTTGTTTGTTTGCTTTAACTATTCATGAGTTTTCTTCTGGGAAGGTCTTACAGAGGGTAGTTATGGAAAATATCAGCATCAGCTGTCCTTTGTTTTTTACCATTATTGTAGTTCAGTACTAGTTTTAAGCATACTTCCTAAGCACTATCTTGTCATGAAGTATATTTATCAGCACAATCCTATTTCTTGAAGATCAAGTTAAGTAATGGCCAGGAACCATTCAGGATACATTTATGATTTCATCCACTGTGCGATCTCATTTCTAGTGGTCATTCTCATTATTGTGTTATTTTTCCCAGTACCCTCTACTCCATAGCATCATCTCCAATGTGTTTAATATTGCATTCTAATTTCAACCTAGCCTAAGTTTTCTCAACCTCTACACTAATGAATTCTGGGCTGGATAACTCTTTGTTATGGGGGGCTGACCTGTGCATTGTAGGATGTTTAACAGCATCCCAGACTTCTACCTACTAGATACCAATAGCACAACCCCTTCCCAGTTGTGACAACCAAAAATGTCTCTACTCCTTGCCGTCGAGTCTATTCTGACTCATAGGAACCCTATAGGACCGAGTAGAATTGCCCCCATAGAGTTTCCAAGGAATGGCTGGTAGATTTGAACTACTGGTCTTTTGGTTAGCAGCCAAGCACTTAACCACTATTGACAAATGAGCAAACCTCTTCCCACTGACAGCCAATGGCCTATCATGTTGAAAACTCTTATCAGTTACCACAGAGAGCATAGCTGCAACAGCAGTTTTACAGAAGTGAGGCGCAGCAAGGGAAAACTTCTCAGCTCCAGTATCTCAGCTGATTGAATCATAAGGAGAGAATTAAGCCTAGAACATTTATCCACTCTCTCCTAAGTATATTTGCATAATACTAGAAGAAGCACTTACGCTTAGTATTTAAGTGCTTAAGAGTCAGACAGACCTCAGTGGGAAGCCTGGTCTGTCATTACTGTGTGACCTTAAGTAAATTCCTTGGTCTTTCTGAGCCTCATCTGTAAAATGGAGACAGTTAAAACCACCTCGTCACACTTGTTGTATGCCGTCAAGTCAATTCCAACTCTAGTGACCCCATGTGACAGAATAGAACTGCCCCATAGGGTTTCCAAGGCTATAATCTTTATGGAGGCAGACTGCCACATCTTTCTGCATGAAGCAGCTGGTGGGTTTGAACCACTGACCTTTTGGTTAGCAGCTGTGCACTTAACCGCTGCTCCACCAGGGCTCCTTCCTCGCTACGTTACTGTGATTAAATGAGGTATTGTCTGAAAAACAGCCAGTGACTGACAGAAAGCAAGCACTCAGTAAATGGACGCTGTCTTTATTATCAATATATCTGTATTCTATTTTCTTCAATAGAAACTGATAGTTAGCTTGAAGACGTGTTATATCCATTTGGGAAAAAAGCACCAACGTATATACATAATGTAGCCTTTCCCAACTAGATAAAGCTTAAGAATAAAATTGAGCACTGGCAATGGGGCAGTTACAGCCGAAAGGAAAAGGAACTGCTGGGGGAAGCAGGAGTGCGATGGTATGATACAGGTGTATGTAGAAGTTTTCCTTGAATCAGACAAACTAAGCTAAGAAGGAATCATTGAATTCTGCAGCTGGAAGCTAACTTATATTTTAGTAGAAGACAGAAAACATGCATAATAAAATGCATCAGGTAGAGTGCCATAGGTGCCATAGGGAAGTGTACAAAGCAGCATAAACCAAAAAACCACACCATTGCTGTCGAGTCAGTTCTAACTCATAGTGACCCTATAGGAGAGAGTAGAACTGCCCCATAGGGTTTCAAAGGAGCAGCTGGTGGATTTGAACTGCTGACCTTTTGGTTAGCAGCTGAGCTTTTAACCACTATGCCACCAGGGTTCCACATAGCAGAATAGTGCTTAAGAATAGGAACTCTGGAGCCAGAGGCCTGGATTCAAATTCTGGCTCTGCTACCTTACCTCTCTGGGCCTCCATTTCTTTATCTATAAAATGATGATAATGGTAGTACCTACTTCATAGAGTTATTGTGAGAATTAATTTTGTTACTATATGTAAAATACTTAGAATAGTGACTGGTCTAGTTGTTGCTGTTAGTTGTCATAGAGTCAATTTTGACTCATACTGTCCCCAAGTAACGAATGGAAATGGCCCATAGGGTTTCCTAGGCTATAACGTTACAGGAACAAATTGCCAGATCTTTTCTTCTGCGGAGCCACTGGGGGAGTTCGAATCACCAAACTTTCGGTTAGTGGCCAAGCGCTTAATCTATCTTTCTTAGCTTAGTTTGGCTGATTCAAGCAAAACTTGCGTTTGTAACTTCCATGTGGCACCAACAGAGCTCCTGACTGGCTTATAGTAAGTACCATATAAGTGTTATCTATTATTATCATATTATTATCAAGGGGATACTGCGTGTTTTTAAGTTAGGAAAGGTGTGCATCAGGGTAGTATCCTTTCACCATACCTATTCAATCTATGCTGAGCAAATAATTCGAAAAGCTGGACTATATGAAGAAAAACAGGGCATCAAGATTGGAGGAAGAGTCATTAACAACCTGAGTTATGCAGATGATGCAACCTATCTTGCTGAAGGTGAAGAGGACTTGAAGCACTTACAGATGACGATCAAAGACCACAGCCTTCAGTAGGATTACACCTCAACATAAAGAAAACAAAAATCCTCACAACTGGACCAATAAGTAACATCATGATAAGCGGAGAAAAGATTGATGTTGTCAAGGATTTCATTTTACTTGAAGCCACAGTGAACACCCATGGACGCAGCAGTCAAGAAACCTGAAGACGTGAAAAAACATCAAATGAAGAGATAAAGAACTCAGCCAAGCACCAAATGGAGTGAGAAAACTGACAGAGAACAGACAGCGAGGAGAGATTCATGCATAGGTCCCCTACCAGCTAAAGCAGCGTGGATCAGCCATGTTGGACTCCTATCGGAGACCAGCAAATAGGGGGTAGGAGAAAGCAGCCTCACGGAACGTCCAGCAGAAGACAAAACAACTGGTAATTTGCGATATATGCTTTCCCACCCCCCACCCTTCTTCACCCCCACTTGGCCTCATCTGTTTCCCGCAGCCACAGTCTCTTCAACGGGAAACACCAGCTGCTTGGATTCCACACACCCGAACGGGCCAGCACTCTGAGTGCCATTTGTTGGCTGCTGGTGTTGCTTTTTTCCACTTCTTTTGATTTCTTCCTTACCTCTCACCACTTGCCCCTCCTTTCGCTCAAATACCTGGCTCTGTGGGCCATCTTTGCTTCTTCCTGAGGGGCTGCA